TTGCAGCTAAATGTTTTCAAGGTCTCCAGATATTACAAACACTTTATATCTCAAGTTAATGACAGTGAACAACTATGTTTACACAAATCATTGTTTAGATAAAAGGCTTCAAATATTAACTAATTTAAACAAACTTCAGTTAACAGACCCTGGAATGGTTATCTTAGGGAAACGACGTTGGCCTGGAACACAGGACTAGCTGCTGCTGAAGTGAAAAGCCCTATGTCACATTCTCTTCCCCTAACAAGGCATGCACCGACTCATGTCCCCCATGAATCAATGTAATGCTCTTTTCATCTGGGAATTCCTGGTGTCACTTAGAATTCCCCTTCCTTTAGAGCTTGCACCTAATCTTGTGTCCACACATCATGTGCATCCAAAAAGGGGCACCTTGATGTAGAATGGTGAAGCTGTGGGTTTCTTTTCTGAGATAAGAAATTGAAGCATGGGAAGAAAGAGAGAAGATGTACAAAGACTGCAGCTTGCTGGTAAGGTACACAATTTAGCCTCAGTCCCTGGAATCTCCAGGCAGAGCTTGGAAACACTCCTGTCTGAGAGTCACTGCTAGTCAGAACAGCAGATGGCTCAGCATTCTGACTCAGTACAAGCAGCATCTCCTGTAATGGTGGGAATGACTAGAGTGAAACAAGGTGAAATTTTCGTTCAGACAACTGTGTGGGGGACACATGGGGGTTTTCTGAGAGCAGAAGGTGGAATTATATGATTATTTTGCAAATCATTATATAAATGTTATTTCCTCCCAGTCCTCCCCCCATCTTTCTAGAATGGGTGAACCACTGCAGGGAGTCTGGGGCCACTTTCACACACCCCTTCCAGACTGCACTCTGGACTCTCCTTCCCCCAGCAGGGTGCTAACAACAACAACAATATAAAAGCACATATCATTGGTGTATCACCAACGTTTGGCAGCAAATTGCTATCTAGTACCACAACTGTGTAAGCTAAATTTGACTCTTGCAGCATTCAGTAGTGCTACAGATGCCATTTTTGTGGAGGGGAGGAATTGGGCCACTGCTGAATTCAGCAACATGGCAGGGACTGCATACAGCCTGGGGGTGGCCTGGGGGCTGCATGTTGCCCACTTCTGTTCTAGAAATATCTTTGAACAAAAAAGAGGGCCAGCCCAGGCACAACATTTAAGTTCTCCATATATTCCTGTTTGGGTCTCCAGTTCCTTAGATGGATTTGGGATTTTCCTTCTCTGGAGGCATTTCGCAAAGAGACACAGCAAAATGCTTCTTTGCTCTAGAAATCAAAAGGGAGGTGTCCTTTGGACTTGCAGGGCTGTGGTGACCCACTCTTGGGATCTAGTTTAGTGAGATAGCTTGATGTTTCACTCTATTTCTAAAAGTGGCTATTTCCTAACTTCTCTCTGCTTGGTTCTTTAACAAAATATATTGGATGGAAATGTGAGTTAATCTGATTAGCTTACCTAGCCTGGAGCTGGCTGCATTCATGCACTCAGACTGCTTGGCAAACCCAGTAACCAGGCTGATAAGGAGGAAACTCTGAGAAAGCAGCCATTGTTCTCTTTCTGTACACATCATATGCAGAACCCGCCCAACTGTTCCTGCATCAGACTCTGGAGTGGGGACAATAGGAAATGGAGCCCCTTTCCCGCTCCACTGCAAGAGGGCTCATCGTTGCCTCTGTGCCACCTCTGGTGGGTGCCCTGCTAGGGAGAGCCCCAGCGGCCGTTCTCCCACCATGACATTTGTCACCGCGAGGGAGCAGCCGGCAGAGGTGGCTGGGCGTGCTCCCACTTCTCATTACCAAGAGTGCCGAGACTTTTGGCAGCAAAGTTCTCGTGAGATGTTGACTGAAGAATGCGGGCAGTTTGGCCAGGCCTTTTGGAGGACCTCCACAGCTGGCAAGAGGAGCAGAGCAGGCACGAGCCAGTGAATGGCAGCAGGGCCACCTTTTTTGAGGCTACAAGATACAGTGGGCTGGGCGGGTCACAAGTTTGCCCTCTCCTCTGAGGAGGAAAAGAGATGCGAATAGTAGGACCGCCGCTGAGGATTTGAGATGAAGGGGTGTCTTTCAGCCTGTCCTACCTTGCAAGGAGGTGGTACAGAAGTGCCAGTTTGTTGTACCACTATTCTCCCTCAATTATGAGACACTTAAGGTGCCTCACTACAAATCTATTAGCAATCCCCCCAATACCAAAGCAACAATGTAATCTAAAAATGGTGCATACATTCACTTCCTGTGACCCCCGCCTTCTCTGTGCAAAGGCCTTGCCATTTTAGTGCTTCACAGATTCACTTGACCACAGCCAGTAGTGTGCTGTCCCAAGAAATGTTAGCACTGACTATTTGTTCACTTCTTTGAAAGCTCTGGACTGCCTATACACAGCCTGACAGTGGGAGGTTTTATCTTAGCGAGGTAGAGTGTTTGCAGTGATAAAGGCTGGATGCAGTATGGTGAGCACAACCGAAAGATGAGATGTAACATGAGCTTTAACACTGCTTTCCATTATCAGCAGTCGGTAACATAAACAGCTGCATAATTTAATTTTTAAAGCAAACAAACAGCCTGCCACTATATCAAACCTGATATGCAGGCTGAAAATATATGGGAGGTATTGGGAGGTTTGGACAAGCTTGAGAAAATGCTTACCACCACTTCCTGAGTACATGCTGTGGTAAGGTATCTGGTCTGAGATTTGGCTTGCCTCTCTTGTCCCTTCCTCTTTTTGCAAAGCTTTTGCAGGCCCATAGTTAAGACATCTTCAGGAGTCCTGTCTTCTTCCTGGGCCTGTCACTCATCAGCATCGTCACCAGCTGCTTTCACTTGTCTCTTCTTTCTCATCCATGCCACCACGCGCTCGCTTGACAGGCACAGAGCCAGTGGCATCTACTGCTCCTCTTCCTTACCACCCTCTCGTCTGGGCTGGAGTGAGAGGCAGTGAAGGCACAGGTTGCAACAATGAAGAGGAACCAGTCCCAGGGAGCCCTGACGAAGTGCGGGCCCTTGGCAGCAGGGCCATCTTAACGCATGGGCCTGATGGGCACTTGCCCGTGGGCCCCATACTAATCTGTGTATGTTAATCCTTGGAAAATTGGAAAACCTCCAAAATGAACAGTAGTTGTAGTTGTTGTAGGGGCCCCAATATACTGCTTTGCCCGGGGCCCATAATGCTGTTAAGACGGCCCTGCTTGGCAGGTGTTCAGCAGCACTGACCTGGCACCAGCTCTGAAGGCTTAATCTCTCCCATGTAACTTTGTCCATGTAACTTTATGAAAAGGAATTGGATAAATAATTTAAAACTAAGCAAAAGGGATTTGATACTATTATGAAGTCTGTAATCATGGGCCTGCTTCTTTGATGAAACATTTGTAAACTGGGAGCTTAATTTCATTTTTAAATGTTGCACTGTGTAATTATTCCTGGATGAAATAAAGTAAGTTCAAGAGTTTATGCATTATTTTAAAAAAGGTGGTAGGAATTTCCATATTGTTCAGCTTTTAGAGAAAGTATTTAAAAAAATCATAGGCTTCAGTTTTATGCTTGGAAAACAGCCAAAGTGGTTCTTAGGACCCTACTTCAGATAAAATGCTAGGAGCTGCTAAAGCAAGTAGAGATAGAACGGATTTACTGCGGAAGTCACTGATGCTTTTTTATTTCAGCTCTTCTCAGGGGGCAAACAAAGAATGCCTAGTGCAGTATTACATGTCTGTGAGAGATGGACTCGTTTCCACCCTTCTTCATTGTGTAAGCTATGTGGGAAGAAAATGCTCTCTGTTCATGGAGGTACGAATAAGCATCCGCAAAGATGCACAAATCAGTCTGCCTCTGCTGCGTGTCAGTTTCTCATATATTTAGTCATAAGATCATCCCCTCCAAATCCCTGTAAAATTCTGGTTTTTCATTTTTAAAATGCACAAAAATGCATTTATTTTTGTTAGCAATTTCTCATAGCTGTAGGGGTTATGCTGTTCCCAAACAGTTGGATCCTGTTGGCTCTGGACAAACTGATCAGGATCACCTTTTGACACCTGCTGGCTGCCTTCCTAGAAAAATCTATTAGCAATCAAGAATACTTTAACTAATCCAGAATAATGAAGGAGGAAGGTGAGCATGTGCCCTGCTGCACCTCATCACTGCCCCCAGCAGTCCTGGAGGCTGGAGAGAGAGTGCGCTGTAAGTAAATGACTGGGTCCCTCTTCAGGCAGGGAGAGAAGGGTGACAGAGCACTGCCCCCTTGCCCTTGAAAAGGAGCCACTCCTGTAAGTTTGAACATAAGTTTACCTAACATAGGGAGTTTTGCATGCAGATTCTGAGCTGAAAACATCTCAAAATATGGAGAAGCACAGGATCCAAAGGAAACTGTTCGGACCCACCTTCTATTCTTGGAAGTGCCAGTTATGTGCTTGCTCTCCAAAATATTCTGACCTTGACAGCCTTGTTCAGCTCTTGTAAATGCAATGCTGTGGCTTCCTTTATGGAGTAGATCCATCTCATGGTTGGTTTTCCTCTTTTTTCTGCCTTTGACTTTTCCTTGTTCATTGAGCTGTGCCTTCCCATGATGTGCTTGAAGCATGATAGCCTCAACTTCATTATTGTTGCTTCCAGAGCAAGTTCTGGCTTGGTTTGTTCATAGGAAAGGGGAAAATGCATTATTTCTAACAATACTCTAAAAGCATCATGGATTGCACCAAAGAAGGCACTAACGAGAATAATACTTCTAGGGAAAGGGGCACTAAGTAACTTGAGCTCATTTGCTGTTTGGTTGTGGATACTACAGTGCTCTCTGCAGGGCACTTGCTGGCCCTTCAAAGGATAGCCACGGATTGTTCTTCGTGGCTCACCAGTGTTTGATATGCTGCTTGGCACATCTGAACCTCAATGTCTGCCTGGAACATCTGTCTGGAAGTACTCATACAGTTCTGTTTAATGTACTTGATGCCAGGCCACGGATACTTCCACCCTGGTGCTCTGTTTATACAAAAGGAACAATTTCCAGCTAATGTTTATTAGAAATGTACCAATTTTGCACATAAAACTGTCCATCTGGAAGTGTCATTACTATGCACACATATTTCCAACATTGTACATAAAAATAAATTGGAGAACTTGCTTGCTCCTTCTGGATTCCAAATAATCAAGCTGTGAATGGTCCTCCTTCTCTCTGTATCTCCACCACTTACATTCTGCCAAAGAATAAAACAGAGAGCTATACATTATATTTCCAGGGTTTTAAAACTTTGCTATTGATTGAATATGTTCAGGGAATGGAATTAAATCCCCTAAAAATAGCAAAGCTGTTTTGCTTTTAAAAAAAGGGGACTACTCCATAGCTCTGGAAGCCAAAAGAGAATCTCTGTGAGATGCACAAAGCTGTATTAGGGCTTACCTCAGAGCCAGTCAATAAAGCACAAACTGAAAACAAACCCACGCACTGGCATGATTAAAGACTTTGCAGCCCAGCAATGGGATTATTGAAGTGCTTGAAGTTAAGCACATATCCAAATACTTTGTTGAATTTGGGTCGGGCACTGTTGGGAACACTATGATCTGTTGTACTAAATATAACTTTATATAACAATCTAAAGAGCTCTGTTAATAAGGAGGAGACCTACAGGTTTACAGGATTTCCATTTTCTCTGCTTAATAAATCCTGCCTAGAGAAATTATGTTTGGCCATTTCCCTCCCCTTCTACTAACAACAAGGATATTCATTCCTAAGGTCACCATAAGTTGGAGAGGACTTGATAGCATGCAGCAACAAGAGGTGCAGCGGATGTAATCAGCATTGGATCCATAGTGTGCCTGTGGGGCAGTGATGGGGGGAGGTTAAAAGCCCCTTACTACTATGCTGAGGTCCAAATCTGGATTAGGCCCTCCTATGTATACTGCAAAGCAAACAGGAAAGTGGGGGGCGGGGAAACATAGATGTTAGATATGAATTTTAATATCTTTTTGAAGCTAAATGAAACTCTATGTTAGAAGCCATGTAAGTCCTAACGCTTGCGCCTTGCCCATCCTCTCCCAGCCATGTTAGGAGGGGACAGAAGTAAAGGCACATGAGACAGAGCAGTATAGCCATAAGGCTTTACCACTGGCTCTTCACTGCATGGATTCTCCTGTACATGATTAACAACTCCAGAGGCTTTTGTGGAACAGTGATTTGGGCTGGGAGATGAAGCAAGGCCGTTGGTGGACTGGGCTGGACTCAGGATGACGTGACGTCCTTTGCGCCCCCTTACTGCTTATCACAGGCCAGCTTTCCATTTCATTTCTGGCATGGCTAACAAAGTAAACCTGTAAGGTGGGGTAGGCTGCATGTGGACCTCCGTGTGGCCTCTGCTGACCCCTTGTGCCACCATCAATCATTGAGAAAGAAAGGGAAAAATAGCTGTTTGTTGCCAAATGTGTTGGCAATTGCTATGAAGCTTTCTAAGGACAAATTTAACTTGTTTTCAAGCTGATTTCTTTTCTTGACACCAAATGTGGTCCAGGAGATCTGCAGGGAAACTGGCCTCTGGAATACCCATGGTTGCCCACCTCTCCTGTAAGAAAAACTTTCAGATTTTTTTCCAGGAACCCCCACCCCCATAAAACTGAAGAGTTCATAATATTTATACTGACACTTCCTTAGAATAGTTTTATTTACACCCTGCTTCTGTACAAAAGACAATCTTACCTTATATTTGATTTTCTCATGCAAACTTAACCCAGATCAGTTGGTTGATGTGTGTCAAAATGGAAACTTTGTCTAAATTAGAACCATATTAAAAACATTTGAATTGCAGCTGAGTCTGAACTAAAACTGCCCAACTAAACATTAATTGTTTGGCTGCATGCACACAATGTATGTCTAAGTTCCCCTTGCCCCCACAAGAAAAACGCCCCCAGCAACAACAGACATTACAAGGAAAGAAATGAAATGTCTTTTGTGTAACATTATAAGAGAGTGGAGTGGGAGGAACAAAATATCTTAACTGGAATGAAATTTATAACCATTAAAACTGGTGTGGCGGGGGAATGTCTTTGGTTGCCTTCAGAAAATATTGCTTTCAAGGCCTCTTCTAAAGAGTCATTTGCCATCCAAGTAATGTGTAATTCTGTCATTCTGTGTCTAGTTCATTATAGAAACACAGAAACATAGTGAGTCAAAAGGGGCCTCCTGGACCATCTAGTCTGACCCCCGCTCCAGCCGGCTCCGCTCACGACACGCCTCCCATGTGCATGTCTAGCCTATCCTGAACACCCTCACCGATGGGGCCTCAACCACCTCCTGTGGAAGCCCATTCCATACCCTCATATATCTGTGGTATGGCCCATACGTCATAGCACCGTCTCTTCCTGGTGGTGGTAGGCGGCCGTGCCCTGGCCCTCACCTCTCCTGCAGCAGCCTCCTGGCCGCATGTGGGCCCAGGCTGGGGTCCTGTTGGTCCCCAAGTCCTCATCAGCCCCAGCCTCCCCAAGCAGAGAGAACCTGTTTCCCAGCTCCAGATCGGTGCCAGGAGAAGATGGAGGCCGTGCTGGCCTCCTCTTCCTGTGAGTGACATGCCTCCATGCCTCCCCAGCTGTTCATCCCATGGCCTCTCCCTCAACCCTCTGTCTGGAGGGGGACTGCTCCCGGGGGCCCTGGAGAGCTCTCTCAGCCCTCAGATACCTTACCTCCTCCTCTAGGAGGGTCACAAGCTTGCACCAAGGGCAAGTGTATCCCTGCCTCTTCTGAGGGAGAAGGGCGAAAATGTCGCAGCTGCCACAGCAGACAGGAACACCTGTGATTCCCGCCAAGGCCATCTCCTGGCCTGATATTGGGAACCCCTCAGAGAGCCTACCTTGTTCCCCCGCCTTGTCTGTCCTCTGCTACTCTTCACTCGCCCAGTTCTCCCAGACAAAAACTCACCCACAGACACACACACGGACAAAATAAAAATTAAAAAAAAAAAAAAAACTCTGCTCCCAGAGAAGGGAGTTCCTGGGCAGCTTGGGCTGCATCTAAGGGATGCAGACAAAGGATGACACCTTATAAGCCTCACAGGCCGCTGCCCCTCTGCTTCCTCCTGGCCTCTCTGGCCCCACCTCCCTTCCTCTCCGCTGCTCCTGTCCCCCTGCTCCTCTGCCCAGCTCCTACCTTGCCTTTGCCCAGTCCCCTGGCCACCCTCAGCACACTCTCCCAGCCTCTGCCTCTGCTGCTCTGCCAAGAGGCAAGAGCCAAAAGAGCTGCACAGTTGATGATCTGCACAGTTCTAAGACCCAAGATCTGGCTTCAGAACTGGAACACATAAGGATTCCTGAACATCCAGGAAAGCTTTTGGCTTGATTTGCTCAATTAGCAGGTTCTGGGCCACATCACAAACTGCTGCTTTTGAAAGTCCCCGACTTTCCAAACAAGCCTGCCATATGGCACATAAGGCTTCTGTTAGGAAAAAGAAAATCAATTCCCCTTTATTAACATTGTTCCGTTTAAGCCACTCACTAGCTGGGTTCACACAACACAACAGCAACCCTGCATGGTTACCATGGTTTGCACTTTTTTACCATGATCTGACAGATGATCAAGTGGTTTCTATGTTACCATGATGATACAAATCCCATTAGCCACTATTACTGAAATTCAAATTCAGGGTTCATTGCTCCCTGTTTCTGGAGTGACTCTTTCAGTTGCTGCCCTTTCCAGGGGACTTGTGGTAATTGTGTACCAGGACCATAGAAGCCATAATCCTAGGTTCAGAAAATACAACAAGCTATGGTGGTATGGGGAAACCATAGAATACATTATTGTTTGTTCCTAAAATCCAAACTTAACATGGTGAAACATTCTGACTACATTCAAAAAACACAATAGGCCAACAATTATAACCCTCCCTCATCATGCCTTCTTGTGGTGTTTGAACCCAGCCACTCAGTTTTATTTCAATTTTTTCATCCTCTTGAAGTAGCTACAGGAGGGGCAGACAACCAAGTTCTCCCAAATTTTGGACTACAACTCCCACCAGTCCCAGTTAGCATGTATAATTGTTGGGGATAATGGCAGTTGTAGTCCAAAACATCTGGAGGGGACCAAGCTGCCTACCTTTGATAGGCCACCCTCATTATTTGCTGTTTATCCCTGGCAGTACACGCTATACTTTGGCCCTATAGCAGCCTATATTCTATGAGGCAGGTAATTGCCAGCTCCCTGGGTTCCCTACTAATGTTGAACCAACACCATTACCTATGCAACCCAAGGCCTATTCAGAGGTCTATTTCCCATTTGGCTTAGGGCAGCTGCTCTGCAACAGGCCACATATGGTGCTTCTGGATAAGGCTTCTGTTGTGCAATCAGCCTGCCTCATTCGTGGTGGGTGTGGGTGAATGGGTGAAGCAGGCCTGGTTCACGTGATTGTAGCTCGGGGAAACAAGCCACAGTGGCTTATTTTGACTCTACCCCTGCCTAAAGTGCAGGTTGGGTGCAGGAGGATCATTCTTGAGAGCACAGCTTGTCATGCTCAGAGAAGCTGACCAGGGTGGCTTCTTGCTGTGGGTAACGAGCTACTCAAAATCCATGTAGCAAGCCACCATACCTCACTGGCCACCCAATCATCATGCAAACCATTTGTAACCCTCTGGGCATGTTCTCATGTCATGGTAGGCCACTATGAATTAAACCATTGCAGATTTGGCTATTGTGGTTTGCACCCCTGCTTCTTCTCCCTCAGTCTTCCAATCCTCTCTGGCTAATATCCCAGTGTCCTTCACAGGAGAATCACCTCACTTCTCATTCA